TACTTTATCCGCACTTTACACTGTAAGGATGACGTAGTATTTCTTCTTCAAAAGGAATGTCAGCATCTTCCTATTGTTATTGTTAGTAAGGATCAGTTCTTGGTAGCTTACAAAGGATATGTCTTTCTTTTCTCTGGTTGACTTTTCTGCCGACCCACTTTCCTCCATGTTCTATCCGTAATCTGATTCAGTAAACTCAGCTCTTTCCGTATATGTATACTAAATTTTTTTTTATTTTCTACGCATGCGCAGTTCAATAATAGATTCACAAAATTTTCACAAAAAACTGAATTACAAATCTAAAATAATAACAAATTACGACCAGTCTAGTACAAAAATGAATTTTTCAATTTTTCAGCAATTATACTAAGATTAGAATTATTAACACACAAAAAAGCTTCAATAACATTAGACAAATATTTTTGCTTGTTGATACGGGACTTTAGTTGTAATTCAATATCATAAAGAAGTTTCGTAGCCTTTTCATAATCTGATGCTCCTTTGGCTGTCATGATATAAGAACGAGTTTCGGGCCCAATCAGTTCAAATGAAACACAAGCATTGCAAACTGCCACTACATCAGAACTGATAATATCACATAATTCAATAATATGTGACTGGAAAATATCTGCTGGATCATTTACTAGGCTTTGTTGCTAAATAATAAAATAATAATTATTAGTAACAAATAAAAATACTTATTTACAATGTGTGTGTCTGTTGGCAGCATAGAAAATGAATCAGGTTCTGCTGGAGTTGACATGACCTATAGGTAGAAAAGTATATGCTGTCACCTTATTTTGTATTAATTTGCTGTTAACATACTTTAGTAGATTTTCTTCGACTGCTACTCACAAAATTTCTGCTTAAACTAAAAAAAACAAAATAAAATAAATTAATTGCAAAGCCATAATAATGTTATAATAATAATACACAAATCATACAGTGACTTTGAATTTCTTAAAATACCTTGGTTTCTCTGTTGTCTAATAAGTATCTTAATAAATATAATACTTTTGAAATATTAAATTTTACCTGATTGGTGTCTTTAAACCAAACTTCCTCTTGTTCAGTAAGAAGTCTGTACTTAGTTGTATTGTTCTCGCAACAGACTAAAGTTTGATTTGCTGGTGAAAGTTTTATGTAATGAGGTGGTGTTGATCGGCAACAGCTAGCACAAACATATTTAAAT